CAGGGCTCTCCTCTTACTACCAGAACAAACTCTCTTGCCTCTTCTTATCTATGTTTATTGTTTTCATCCCCTCTTTGGACCCTCAAAACACAAATATTCTTATTAATCCTCCAGTCCCTCAGCATTCTCTCTCATGGTCCTTATGTAGATCTCTCCCCACATTGCTATTCAGCTGGCCTCTTGTTCGATGACCAGCAGTGATTTAAGCTTTCATTCTACACTATGAAGGAGTCAGTCATAAATTCTGTCCCAAATCGGAAGAGATGGGTATACTGCAAGTAGTGTATCCAGAAGTCCCCAAATTTCCAATTTGTATTTTCCAAATGATTTTTAAAAGCAGCCTCATATACAATAATTGCAAGAATCCAAACAGGAGGTTATTGGTGCACAGGCAATCATGGTAAATCTATCTCCGTCAAGGTAGGATCATAGCTGGCATATCCTCCAAAGCTACTAACAGATGCTTTCAGCTATAGAGCTCATTTAAGTCTCTAATGAAAATGCCAGATCAATAAGCATTCTCAAACTGTGAACCTGATTGTAAGAGACTGCCGCGATGCACTGGGTCAAGTCATCTTCATGCTCTGGCTGTAGATTCCCAAGCAGCCAGGTCTGAGGATAAAGGTGAAAGGAAAGGCTGCCCGAGAGGTTAGCTAGCTCAGCTGAGACAGAGTGGAGTTGCATCAGCCACATCTGGGGCTCTTCCAAAACAGACTATTGCGTTCTGGGAGGCAGCAGGAGAAGGAGGTGGAAAGGAAATGGTTGTGGTCTACATTAGAAGGGAGAGGATCTCTCTGCAGTTCCCTCTCGCGGGTTCCCTGGCAAGAAGTCTGGAAGGACCCAGCAGGGAGAGATCAAACCTGGACCTAATATCTAGCCTGGAAGCATGGGGGAAGCCTCTCCCACAGGAACAGAAAAGCCTTGTTCCAAGGAAACCTGCCAGTAGAAGTACAAGTACTTGAAACCAAGACAGTTGGATATCTTGGCGATGCAAAGCTGGAAAAGGGGGAAGAGAGGCATGTCTTTACCCTGAACAAGAACCCGTAGGCGGCTGGGCCTCAGTGCAGTAACCAGAGGCAAAGACAAATAAAAGCTGTTTGAGTTTACCTGGAGAGTTGTGTGGATATGGGGGCTATGGAGGAGGGTGGGTTCAATGTACCCCTCCCTGAGGATGGGTTCACACTGGTGGAGAATGCAGGAATGAGCCCAAGAGGCATCACGCTTCCCCATCCAAACAATGGCTGTACCGGTTGGCCCATCAAGAGAAAGTGCAGGCACAAGACCAGCAGAAGCTTTTACAACTGGCTCTACAGTTGTCTCAGTTTATTGAACATTTGTTTTCAGTCCAACAGCAGAACCAGAATAGAGTTCTAAAGCAAGTACTGAAAGGGTTACAGTCACCTAGGGTGACAGTAGAGACTGGAAGAGTAATGGGTGAACAAGCTCAAGCTATGACCCCAGTGAGAATGTCCAGGGTGGGTCCAGATGACAATCCTTTTAAAGTCCTTTTTAAATATATTTGAATAGGTGGCTGTTGCAGCAGTTGGCCAGAATCTCATTGGGCAATTATTCTCACTCCCTGTTTAACTGGCCCTGCCCAGGCTGCAGTAGACAAGCTGACAATGGAAAATGCTGGGCAATAGCAGAAAGCAAAGGCTGCTATTACAGGCATCCTGAATGTCTGAGGAGACTTATAGGAGACTGATGGAAGCAATCTATGGCCCAACTACCCACTTGCAAGCTCTGGACCAACAGATACAGACTCACTGTCTTACTTGGCTAAAGCTGGCTGTCCAAATGGCAAAACAAGTGGCAGAGTTTGTAATGCTAGAACAGTTCATGAATGTCTTACTCCCAGCAGCCTGGAGTTGGGTAAGATGCCAGAAGCCTGGGGCCCTGGAAGCAGCAGTTCAGTTTATGGAGACCTTTGTTATAGCAGAAGAACCAGAAACCTCAGCTGCATGAGACTGAGAGTTAAAGAGAGAAGCAAGACCCAAAAAGGAACTCAGGGTGGCTACCTTGGACAAAGGCCCCAGTAGGAAAGGACCCCAAAGTTAGGGTTTGGGCCAGCACAATTTGAATCAACCAGAGTGACAGTCCAGTCTACAGGAGGTGGACCTCCATGGCCACTGGTCAAACTGGGTGGCGCAAGAGGACAGAACCTCATGATCAAACCTCTCATATGCTTCCAAAGTGGACAAGGACATATCAAGAGGGAGTGTCCTTTAATACAGTGTGATAATTTATGATGATCTTTGCATGGAGAATAAGTGTGTGGTCCTATGGGTTTTACTATCATGAGATGGAAGCCTCTGAACTTCCTGAAGCAGGCAGAGCAGGAGGAATGGCAGAGGCAAATTCCAGTTCCTCAGCGTGTCATCAGTATGTCTTTTCCCAGACAGGCTTTTTTGCCCATCTAATAATAGTGCTATTAGGGAGACAGAAGGAGGCTAGAAGTAGTTCAACATAGCTTGTGACCTGGCCTCTCCAGTCTTCTCCTCCTCCCCTGGAATGGACCCTTCCTCCCATTCTTGAGGTCACTTCTCTGACCTCAGAGGTCAGCAGGTGTGGCTCCCTTTGTGCTAGCTACAAGGTGGGGGGGGGCAGATCTCTGGAGCACTGTCTCCAACCTCAGAGACAGGAATCCCCACTATCCTATGGCACCTCAAACAATTTCTAGGAGCCATAGTATTGCTTCCTCTGTACTTCAAACAGAAAGTAAATCCCTTATGTCAGTAAAAATGAACAGTATGAGAAAGTATCAGGAGAGGATGAAGGTGAACAGAATTTTAAAACTGAGTAGGAACAATATTCTTTAGGACTTTCCAGGAAATATGAATAGAAGTGGAATTTGCTGTGTTGGAACTAGTATATTTGATTGTCTCTCAATATGTCCATTGAAATGAATCTTATTAAAGTCTGGAGCTTAAACAGAGCAGCAGTGTCTAATGCATAACATTTGCTAAATTTAGACCATCAACCATTTATTTGTTCGCACAAATATGCAAAGCTTGACTTTGTAAAATATATTTTTAAACCTATTCTTGTCTTCTGGGAATACACATTTAGCATCTAATTACCATTCCCCATGTTCAAAATGCATAAACCCTCTTTTGTACTATCATTTTATAAATTCTCTGCATAATTTGAAGGTTTAGTTTTATCGCTTCATAGAAATGTCATCTTTATAGCAAACAAAATTGAGAAGGCAGCTTTAAATTTCACAGCAACACAAAACTCCACTACATGTAGAATTAATCGTCCATGCCAACTTTTTCTCCCATCACTTATATTTGTTAACTCATTATTTTCTTGGGATTTTGGAAATAGGATGAAGCCTAAAGATGGGGGTGTTATTATCATCTAAAACATCTGGAATGAAATACTGTGTTTTATGGGCTTCACAAGTGTGGGTTTTATTCATACCTTTGTATACTTTGGCACAACTTGCTAGTACAATGGAAATCCATCACCTCATTTTATATTTAAGTTGCAGACCGTTTCTGTTACAAAGCCTGGATTACCCCCCACCCCACCCCCAGTAACTTTGGCTTGGAAAACTTGCTATTGAAAGAAAGATGAAAAGATAAAATGCTTCAGCAAGTATTTACAAGAAGTACTTTTAAAGGGAAAGTTATTAAAAAGCTATTTAGAAATTGTCCTGCTAAATTCACAGATTTTTTTGGGGGGAGGAGGGGAATCCAACAAAACAGTTTTACTTAGAATTCCCCTTTTTCCACACTACCTTCATCATCCTCTTTCTTTCTTTCTGCAAAACAGAGTACGTTAAGGAACAAGAGATGGAATAGCTGCACAATGCCTTTGCACTGGTAGGCTAAAAGCCTCTGTCTAGAAGCACTCCAAGCTCTTGGAAGGAAAAGTAGGTACTGGGGAAGGCAAACAGGTGAAAATATGTATAGCTAAGAGGAATGTGCTGCAGGTGCAAGGACAAAAGCTTCAGTGTATCTGTGTGAGTGCCAAACCAGGGTGGTAGGACTGTTGCCACTTATTTGGCCAAGCCTGCATTTTCAGTAGTGATTCTGCAGGCCAGTTTTCCCCAGTCTGGTAATTGCCCTCCTGAAGTGGCTGGGGATAATGGGAGATGTAGTCCAGCACCCAGCCTGGTGGCATTTTCTGGAAGGTCACTTTGCAAGTAAGAGAAAGCTTGGTCGTAGCCAATGCTTTATCTTCCTATTTCCAATGTCTGAAATTAGAGATGCAATCCTTTGCATGATTAGAAACAAATTTGAACAACTCACTGCATTCCCTACCCAGCATGAACGGCTGGGGAATGCTGGAATTTATAGGGCTTTTTTCCCTTCTAAACATGCATAGAATTGTTTGCATATGGATTCCATCGTAGCCCGCTTTTCAGTTTACTCATTTAAAAAAGCCTTTCAGATCCTGTGACATTACACTGCTACACTTTTGAAATAACGGGCGTTCTTTCCAGCTCCCTGAGGAGCCTGCCTCCCCCCCCCCCCCCCAAAATAAGACTTTCCATTAAAATCAATCAAACAAAAAAGAAACTGTTAGAAACTCTGGGAAAGGGAGCCCAAAGAGGGCGCTTTTAAGGGGTGGGATAGAGCGAAACCCGGCAAAAGAGAGTTAATAGCCCCTACCGCGCCCTAACGGGTGCGCGTGAGAATGGAAGATGTTTGCGTGTCCGGGCGGGAAGGCAGCCCTCGCTGCCGGCGGAGCGGCGGAGCGCGGTGCTGGCGGCGAGGGGCGCTCCGCACTCTGCGCAGCAACCTGGTCCTGCAGTAGCCCACAGGGCGTTTCCGTGGCGCTGTCCCCTCCCCTCAGTCCGCCTGTATCCCTGCATTCCGTGCTGCAGGAGCCGCCGCTGCCGCTGCCAAAGCATCTCTGCCCGTCCGTGCTTTTCCACGGCGAGCTCCGCTCCACTCCCCTCCCTCCCTCGCTCCCTCCCTCCCAACCTCTTCCAGCCGCTGCTGCCTCGCTGCAGCTTTGCTCGCTCACTGGCTGGGGAGGGAGGGGGGAAAAGAGGCCGCCATGTTGGGTCCTAAGACTTCAGTAGCAGCAGGAGCTTGTGCGTGAGGCGTAAAGGAGAGGAGTGGGCGAGAAGGAGGTCGGCGGCAAGAGGAAAAGGAAAAGGAAACCGGAGGAGGGAGCACAAGCGAGCACCGCCGCCGGCCTGCTTTTGCCGCACGAAGAAGATGCCCTGAGCGCGGCGGACTGAGGCAGGGGCAGCATCTCTTCATCCCCTGCACTGGGAAATAGCAGCGCCGCCCCCAGCATCTTCTGAAGGAAGGAAGGAAGGAAGGGAGGGGGGGGGGGGGGCAGAGAAGCTGCGATATCCTGACACCCTTAGTCATCCTGTCCCCCAAGACAAACAAGGAGCAAGAGGACACGCACCGACATGAGAAGGATTTGCTAGGATTAGTACCAGCCCAGCTTCCTCAGAGCCGGGTGAATTCAAGGGAGGGCGAATATTATTTTGCCCTCCACGCCCTCCCCTCCAATATCTCGTGGAGGGAGTTAAGGAAATGAAGGCTAAACGTTTTATTTTTGGATAGCTGAAGAGGCTTGAGAAGACTTGGCAACGGAAGGGAGGAAGACCTATCCTGCCACAGAGGAAAGGCTCTGTTTCTGGGGTCTTTTCCCCACCTTCTCTTCTCCCCACCCCCACTCTCTGAAGGATTGCCACTGATGCATTTTCCAAGGGGTGGTGGAAGTGGAGGTGGTGGAGGAGGCGGCGGCGGAGGAGAAGGTGGCGGAGGAGGCGGATATGCTCCAGCACTAGACCTCCCAAATCCTATGCATTTTATTTTTGGCCCTCCTCTCTTCAAATATCTTTCTGCGGCTCTTTCCATGAAAGTCGATTGCTGATGCAAATTGAATGGGGATTTTACACTTTAATGATGCAGTAGGATTCATTTCGGGATTATGTTGCATGATCTGAATTTTGAATGAAGGAGGAGACCTTTAAAATCTATCTATATCTATCTATATATACATATATGGAAGAAGAGTGCAGTCAGTCTTGGGTTGAAAATTTTAATTATTATTATTTAAATGTATAAAGTATATATTTTCTTTTAAAGGTATTAAAAGAGATTTTAGGGTAATTATTTTTCTTTAATATTCTGTATATATTGTATATGTGTGTGAAAAAACCTGACCAAGATACAGTTCCCAGAATTGGAATTCTGGGATGGATTGTATGTTCAGCACCATCCCTGAAGCACTGACTTTTCAAAATACTTTTTAGAAACTGTAATACATTCTAATGTTTTAGGTTTTTTCAAAAAAAACAACAACTAATAATAAAGAGAGAAGACTCCCTAAAACTGAAGCAGCCATGTCTGGAGAAGTGCGCTTGAGACAGTTGGAACAGTTTATTTTGGATGGGCCAACACAGACAAATGGGCAATGCTTTAGTGTGGAAACCTTGCTGGATATACTCATCTGCCTTTATGATGAATGTAATAATTCACCTCTGAGGAGAGAGAAAAATATTCTGGAGTATCTAGAATGGGGTAAGTTTGACCATGTATAGATCCCAAGTACCCATTGCCCTGCACTTTTCCAGTTTTGGTATAATTTAGAGATTGACTGGTATGTGTTTCTTACTGTATTGTTGCTGAGGTATCCTACATCTATATTTTGTAATTCTTACATTGATGAATTACCATTGCTTTATATTGGGAATACTAGATGCAAGTTTTCTAAGCTCTTGGTGCTTTTAATGTTTGTAGGCTTTTTAGGGCTCAGCATTTGAATTTTGCAGAAAGTGACAGTAGCAGACCATTTGATTTTGTGTGTGTGTGCACCCGCATGTGCAAAGATAAAAAAATAGTGAAATCTTGTGTCATGTACCTGAGAAGTTTGGAATAAAAATAGGGAAAGTTAGAGGTAGAGATGGTTGAGTATACCCTAAACTATTGTTGGACCTGTCTAAAATAATGAAAAGTCAAGTTAGGAGGCAAGCAAATAATGCCTTTTCTCACTAAGTACAACCCTGAAATTTAGTAGGATTGTATAAATGAAAGTTAAGTGATAATAGGTGACTGAACAATGTTGGCATCATGTCAAGGCTGGTTATTTATTTCCTTCTAAATATACAGTAGTTGGAATACAGGAGATGAAGTCACATGAGAACAGTTATTGTATGACCTTCAAGTGTCAAAGTCATAGTGTAGATAAACATGTACTTTTTAAAAGTATGACAAAAATAGCATAAGAGAACTACAGAATTTTATGGAAAAAATTAAAACTGGTCATACTGAATGGCAACCTGGATTTTTAAAATGAAATGAGTAAAAGAACTGTTGTGACTGTACTGTGCAATTAGAACAAACCTAGCAGATTGTACTTTTTTACACAATTTTGCAGAAAAAATACCTAAGGCACTCAAGTCATTAATGGTACAATCATAAGCAGATTTACTGTGTAGGTCCTACTGAGTTTTATATGTCTTACTGGAATAGAGATGCATAAGATGATACTGTCATCCTATGCATCCCTCTTCAGAAGTAAGTTGCACTGAATTTAGTTTGGCTTACTACTAGGTAAATGAATATACAATTTTATATTAAATATTTCTTCTAACACTTAACCATCTCTGCAAAGGTTTTTCCACTCTTCAGAATAGTTATAACCTAATATTGGATCATATGCCTGAGCAGATGCATTTGAAAGAAAAGCAAATTGCAGTTGATAAACAGAATTAGCTACTCTGATATATTTCTTTCTAATGATAGCACTGGCATATGTTTACATACTTTACAACAACTAGTATATCCATACAAGGTTGAATGAACAGATTAATAAAGTAGGGTATGTATATCAGTTTGAGCAGCATGATAAGGACCTGTGCCATTGCATGTTCAGCTTCTGCCTTCTCATAGGTATTTCTTTGACAAGTGTTGTTTCAAAATACTGGCAGCAATGCGCGATTTTAAATTAATGCACACATCAGGGACTTATACAGGATAGGGCTGAGAGAGGAAAACAAATCTGACTTGAAAAGTTTAATATACTTTTCTGCATGTATTTCTATTTTTTAAGTTTACTTAATTCACCAGTGGAGGTTCCCCCCTCCCCACTCGAGAAGGGAAATATTTCTTTCTGTTCAACAGCAAACTTTTTTAAAACATACACAGGCACAGAGCAGACAAGTAGATTAGAAAAGGGGGCTTTGAAGGTAAATGATAGGAGAGTGCACTTCCTGTAGGTCCTATGGGAAGTAGGAAATGTAATGTCAGGAATAAGGGCCACAGCCTTAGTTAGGTGAGTAGTTTTATTTCTTTGGGAATGTGCATGCAGAGCTTCTGCATGGAATCACTCTGACAGCATCTGTGTTTTCAGCTTTAGCCTAAAGTTATAATTAGTTGATGAGTATGAATAGTGCTTTCAAGAGTTGGAATAGTGCATCAATATATGTAATATTTGGCCTGATTCAGTATTTGGTTTTGAAATAGTTAACATAGGCATGGTGTGAATTTTGTTCATCCTTTTTGTAAATCAGTATGTTATCTTATATTTATTAAAGTTTTATTGGTCTTCAGCTGAAAAGGGTCTTAAAGCATCTTAAATAAGATCAATAGTGAACAAGGTGGTCTCTGCCCAGAGGCTTACCATCTGAAAAACACAACACAAAAGGAAAGGGGATGGGAAAGGTGGATGTAAGGACAAATTAAGCCATCAGTCCTGAAAACTATGAAGTTATGATGACCAGTAATGAATGGAAACAGTTCAGGGAGAGGAGGAGCCTAATTAAGATGGTGTCTTGGAAGAGCAGATGAAAGTAGCTCTGCTTTCCATTTTCCTCTGCTGTGGACTGATGGAATGGCTGCTAATGTCATGTGAGGGGGAGAAAGAGCCGAATGGAGCTAGTCCCTGAACAGAATTGATGGAGTAGTCCTTGAGTCCTGAAGCTTCCTTTGCTGCAGGCTCTTTGCTTGTCATAGTTTCTTCAACCTCTGGAAATGGTATCATATATTTGTATAGTCTTTGGTAATGTTCAAGTGAAGAATGGTATATCAAAAGATAACATTTTAAATTAATGGAACATTTAAAATTTCTTTCACTCTTGCATTGTAATGTTCCCTTTATGTTTGTTATTTTTGGGTGTTCTACTGTATACAAAGTCAAGTTGTTGTTAGGAGTCCTCTTATAAAAATTCTCTACTACTTGACCTTGCATTAAAATGCATGCCAGAATGAATGTTTATGGCAAAGTTGTAAGCTCTTAGGAAAAGGGATTTTGGAATTATTTACAATGAAATAATGCAGGAATGGTAAGGACACATTTGCGTACTTGTTGTTAAAGTTGTGAATGTTGTTGTAATTTTTCTTTTGTCTTTAGAAGTTCATTTTAAAATATCTTTAGCAATGTAAGTTTCATATACTGTTCTGGTAGAATTCATCCTGCAGTTTTAATGAGTACAATTATGTAGTTAAAGATGATATTCAGTGCTTCTAACCAAAGTACGGCAAAAGATGGGGCGAGAAAAGGCAGAAGTGATGGGCTTTCCTTGGATTAACATAGATTTAACTTAATAATGAAGATAAATTATTTAAACATGTATTTGTTATGGAAGGTATCACATAGAAAACGGTTTTATTTTTAATTCTCTGGATGTGAAGAGACTCCATTATGATGATTTGTTGTTTTGTAATCCATGATAGCCAATTCTTACAAATCCTCAAAATAGTGAACAATGTGTGCCAGTGTTTTTATTTGTATGGATTCCATGTATATATGACCAGTTTCATTCTGCTCTGGTAGTTGTACTTAAGTGACAGAATAAGGGGATCCTTTCTGTGTAACAACTGGAGCCTGCCAGCTGGAAAGATTTGAGAATGCAAAGCATGTTGTCCTCCTTTTGTATAACAGCATCCGTTGTCGCTAGTAGTGGTGACCCTGGAGGAGGTAATGTAGGACAGGATGCAGAGGATTAGAAGAAATACCAAAGCAGAGAAAGAATGTTAGAAGTGTGTTAATTTTAAAGCAATACAAAAAGTGTTTTTAAAAGAATGGAATTTATTGATAGTATTTTAAGATTGGAGTGAAAGCTGTGCTTAGGAAGCCTTTAAGGTTGCAGTTGAATTCTACTTTAATTTGTTAATAATCATATCACATACGAAAGAGAGTTTGCATTTTTGAAAATATTCATAATACATAGTGTTTATATATGCTGTAATATATTCAAGCCTCACATAAAGCATGACTTATTCAGCTTTTTTATCTTAAACAGGGATGGACATAGTCTGTGTCATGTCCCCCCCCCCCCCCCGCCCACACATGGCCTTTTAAATGGCCCTCACTGGTGGCTGAATTTGACATGTCTGCCAAGTAATCCAGTTTACCACCAGATTTCAATGGTGCAATAGGCTGAAAAAGGCTTATTTAGTTTTAAAGCAAGGTGTTTTGTTTAAAAGCTAAGTGGCTATTTATGGCAGCTGTGTCACCAAAATTTAACAGCAAACCACCAGGCTTGCTTGCTTGCTTGCTTGTTGCCACAGGTATTCCTCTAAAATTTAGCAGCATCAGTGTGAAATTTGTATCATTGTTGCAGCAAGAGTACTGAACCTGTTGTGAAATTGCACCCTGGAATCCCAGTTAGATGCCCACTCTTCTTAGATGAATCACAGGGCAATCCTATGGTCCCTGAACCATGACAGGGGAAGGAGGGGATCCGAGCAAAGATTCTCTATCCCTACCCCTTCCAACTACCTTAGAAAGTTTTGTCATGGAAGGAGGCTGTACGGTGGGAGTGGAAGGTAGAGGAAAGTCCATGGATCCACAGACTTCTCCAAGTAAGCTGGGTAGACAGGCTCAGAAGTCAGTCTATTTAAATATTTCTAAAAGATGAAATGGGGGGAAATACCCATAAAATCACACTGTAAATGAGATAAAGAAATATCAAAACATGGAATATGTACTGTAACCCATAGGTGAAATCCTAGTTAAAGCACAACTGGTACAGAAGAACCAATGAGAATTAGGTATGCACATGAATGACTACCATGGAAACTAATATTTATGTTGAGTTTTATACCACAGGAGGAAAGGGAATAGCACTATATTGATTCTAAACATTCAAACATGTTTATTTTGTTTGTAATACACTGACTCACCTGAGTGTGCTATCCTTTTCAGGCTGCTAGTTTGCATCAGGTTTTTCTAGAGATTCACCATTTACATTTAGTTATCAGCTATTGTATGTTTTGTGTGTATGTATAGTACAGTACGTCTGTACTATGTACCTGGCAGTGTTCAGAAATAGAATTTGGCAATTATAATTTAGTTGAACTTTTTTAAAAAGAAGGCACAGCATAGCTTAGACTTTAGTTGGAGCAGAGCTGGTAACAAATTGAAGACCTTTTCAAAGTACACATAAGTTTAAATAGAATATTTTGGTGGAAACCTAAAGGGATTGTAAACAACCTATATTGCAAAAGAGTACACATATATTCTTTTCAGTATTGGAGCTGGAGGATGAGATACAGCAAAATCTATATGCTTAAGTATA